CAAAATTAATTTAATAAAAATAAATGAAATAAAAATTAATTTAAAAAAATTCCTGTCCCTGAGCTGTTGGCTTGAAGTAACTGAGCAATTTAGTTGGATAGCACAGTATTAATGTCTGAAAATAAGCTGCTTTAAAGTCACCAAACATAAACTAAATCTGCCATAATGCAGCTAACTCACTAGAAACTCATCAGTGAGTAAAATGTTTTTTGTTTTACTTTTAATAATATTTCTGTGTTTATTACAGATTTAGTCAGTCATGCACTTAGTTCTCATCAGTGTTTAAAAGAGGACGTGTTAAAACTCTGTTTACTCAAAGTTAAACATGAAACATCAAAATTTATAACAAGTGGCCCTTCGAGGGCCACCATAATGTTCATTTGGCCCTCAGTGAAAATGAGTTTGATACCTCTGGTTTACATCAAAGGGCGTCATGAGTTGGTAGAGCTGATGCCTCCCAACAAGAAGCTTTCCGGATCAAATAGCAGCTGGGGACCTTTCTGAGTAGAGTTTGCATGTTCTCTCTGTGCATGTGTGGATTTTCTCCAGATACTCCAGTTTCCTCCCACAAATCAAAAGTATGACTGTTGGGTTAACTGGTAACTCTAAATTGCGCCTAGGTGTGAGTGAGAGAGTAAATGATTGTTTTTCTGTGTGTCCCTGTGATGGACTTGAAACCTGTCCAGGGTGTACCCCGCCCCTCGCACAGTGACTGCTGGATATGGGTACCAGTGACCCCTGAGAGGAAGAAGTGGGTATAGATAATGGATGGATGGATGGTTTACATCAAATGATTTTCTCAATTTATAAAAAAAAAATTATATTCATAATACTTTAACAAAAATGCTAAAATGTATATGCACCACCTGTCATGAATTTAACCTGTCCCCTGCCAAGTCAAGTCACAGCCATGTCCTCACTCATTGTTTCACCCCTCCCATCACAGAACTCCCAATCTAGCTCWTGTCATGCACCTGTTCCCCTCAGTATATATTCCCTCAGTCACCACCAGTCCAGWGCCAGATTTATGAACGGTTTACCAAGTAGTTTTTCCAGCGATCCCATGTCTTGTCTTGCCTGCCACGTTTCGACCTTGTTCATGTCCTCTGGTTCCACGTCTCCTGTCTCGCCCTTGTCTGCTACCGTCACGGATTCTGCCTTTCTGGTTTTGACCCTCGCTCTCGTTTTTGGATTCCTGCCTTTCGCCTCAGCCCCTATTGGATTTGCCCAGTCATCGGACCCACGGATCTCGACCCCTGCCTGTGTACCACGACCACGAGTTAAGTCTGACCCCCTTAACTTGTCGCAGCTATCTGACCACATGGTTTTGACCCACGCCTGCCTCACGGATTCTCCTCAAGCCTGCGTACAACGCCGCAGCATTAAACACGGAAGTGCCAAGAACCATCATTACCTGAGACTCTCAAAGTCTTTCAAGGTTTCTGCTCCCAAAACTCTGCCACTAAAAAGGTTAGTGACTATTTTCTGCTCCAAAGCTCTGCCACWGACTTTGTTAGTCACTAACCTGATCATTTCTTGTTTAGACCTCCGTGTCCCGGTGACGTGTCGGTCCCGACGCTGCTGCTCCAGTTTTAATAAAATCCTTAAAACGTCTCTGGTGTCTGAGCAATCAGTGAAACTCGCAAACCCCATCATTACACCACCACTTGATGGCAAAAATGTCTACATTGACAATTGACATCCTATCAAAAAAAGAGCATCGTTAGCTTGACTAAAGTTATTTTAAAAATAGTTTGTATTTTGATCAGGATAAAATAAAACATACTGTAAAAACAACTCAATTTTTTGTGATTTCTAAAAAAAATTGTGTGAAAAATGCTCCTATGTTATGGTTTTTGGAAAGCTTCACATATCCTTTATGTATAAATCTATTTATCCAGTTTGGAATGTATTTCTAAAAATCTCAGTGTTGCGTGGTTAGGGTATCTGTCAGGGTTAAACTACAGAAATGATTGGAAATGAATGGAAGCCGGTACATGGTCCTAATAAGAATAGAATGACAAACTCGTGTGTGTGTGTGTGTATGTGTGTGTGTGTGTGTGTGTTATTTCTGTTTTGTGTGTCTCTGTGAACGTATGGGGAGGGACCTGTCCACGATGTACCCCACCTCTCACTTGTCGACTGCTGGTAACACTTCTCTCCTAACTCTAACTACCCCAGTACATAACTAACCCTACCACAACTTAATTCATACCTTAGTTCTAAGCATATCCCCTAATTCAATAATGCCTTTCCACCATGTTAGGACAGGTATTTGGTTTCCAAAAGAATTACTGGTTCTGACAAGGTTGGTGTTTATACCAGAAAAGGTTATAAAAAGGTAACAAGAACCAGTTACACGCACACGAATTTACAGTTTTCATTTAACCCAACATATGCATGTGTTTGGACTATATCCAGAAACCAAAGTACTTGAAGAAATCCTGGGGAGGGCATACAAACTTCACACAGAAAATGCTTATCTTACATTTATTCATTTATTTATTACCTTTATCCAGGCAAATCCCATTGAGATCACATATCTCTTTTGCCAGGAAAGCTTTGGCATGAAGGTAACCTAACGTGCATGTTTTTGGACTGTGGGAAGAAAACCGGAGTACCTGGAAAAATCTCACACAACCACAAGGAGAACATGCAAACTCTACACAGCAAGACTCCATGTCTGAACCAAGACCTGCTTGCTGTGCAGCATCAGTGCTAACCACTAAGCCATCATGCTGCTTGATTAAAAAAAATTGGCTATGAGACAACACTGCTACCTGCTCCACCTTTCAGTTCTTGTCTTATAGTCATTATGCAAATAGAAGAAAAACTAATAAACGGTTGTAAAACTGTGGAAAGTCCAAGCAAATCTAGAATGAAAGCAGATTAATTCCTAAGAAAATTTATGTTTTTGGATAACGAATACCTTCTGATTGACTGCCAGTTTTCAAACTTTAAAAAAATGCTGTACCAAGATTTCTGGTCTTCTAATGATCAAGAAATCTAAAATTTCATTTGGCAATATACCACTAGAGATTAGTAGATACAGGTGGATAAAATTGTTGGTACCCCTCGTTTATTGAAAGAAAACCCACAATGGTCACAGAAATAACTAGAATCTGACAAAAGTAATAATAAATAAAAATTCTATGAAAATGAACAAATGAAAGTCACATATTGTGTTTCAGTCATGCTTTCAACAGATTTTTTTAAAATAAAACTCATGAAACAGGCCTGGACAGAAAATAACATGTTAAATCAAGGTGTGCCCACTAATTAGCATCACAGGTGTCTACAATCTTGTAATCAGTCAGTGGGCCAGTATATAGTGCTACAGATAGTCACTGTGCTGTTTGGTGACATGGTGTGGACCACACTCAACATGGACCAGAGGAAGAGAAGGAAAGAGTTGTCTCAGGAGATTAGAAAGAAAATTATATACAGGCATGTTAAAGGTAAAGGTTATAAGACCATCTCGAAGCAGCTGGATGTTCCTGTGACTACAGTTGCACATATTATTCAGAAATTTAAGATCCATGGGACTGTAGCCAACCTATCTGGATGTGGCTGCAAGAGGAAAATTAATGACAAATCAAAGAGATAGTTAATACGATTGGTAACAAAAGAGCCCAGAAAAACTTCTAAAGAGATTAAAGATGAACTTCAAGCTCAGTGTCAGTTCGCACCATCTGTCATTGCTTGAGCCAAAGTGGACTTAACAGGAGACTGGGATTTGCCAAACTAAATGCTGACAAGCCACAAAGCTTCTGGGAGGATGTCCTGTGGACAGATGAGACCAAAACTGAACTTTTTGGCACATCAGCTCTATGTTCACAAACAAAAATTTAATTAAAAATTAAGCATATCAAGAAAAGAACACTGACCCTAATGTGTCTTGAGTCTGTGCTGGGTACAATGAAATCTCAAGACTATCAAGGGATTCTAGAGAGAAATGTGCTGCCCAGTGTCAGAAAGCTTGGTCTCAGTTGCAGATCATGGGTCTTCAACAGGTTAATGACTCAAAAAACAGCTAAAAACACCCAAGAACGGCTAAGAGGAAAACAATGGACTATTATAAAGTAGACTTCTATGATCCTGACCTTAAATCCTGTTGAGCTTCTTTGGAAGGAGCTGAAACACGCCATGTAGCATCATTTCTGTCCAGGCCTGTTTCATGAGGTTTATTTTTTAATTCTATTGAAACATGGTTGAAAAGCAATGTCTGACTTTATTTTGTTCATTTTCATAGATGTTTTTTATTATCATTACTTTTGTCAGATTCTAGTTATTTCTGTGACCATTGTGGATTTTTCTTTCATTAAACAAGGGGTACCAACAATTTTGACCATGTGTGTAGATAAAGAAGTCATTGTAAAACACTCTGACTCAACTAAAAAGGAAAACTGAACAAAGTGTTCACTAAGTGTTTAGGTTTAGTAAAGGAAAAAAACTCATAAATCTTGTATTTGATTTAAAAATGTTAGCACTAACATTTTTTGAGTAAAGGCCAATAGGATAACAACAAATTATTTTCTGAAACTTCCTTTTTCGTTTGCTCTTTCCACTAAGATGTTTCAGACAACCTGTAATGTCAAAACAAGCTGTGCTACTTATCTAGTAACCTTTTGGCAGCGCTTACCTGTAGGGGCTGAGATAGTGGCAGGTACACTGGTTCTGTGTCCCCTCTCTGCAGTGATGCTGATGGTATACAGCATACCAGGTATCAGGCCTTTCAGTGTATGTGACTCAGAGCTGCCTGTGACTATGTCTTCAGCCCTGTGGCCATCAGCTGAAACATAGACCACTCTGTAGGTGTCCAGTTTGGCCAAAGGGCACTTCCACTCCAGCATCATGGTAGTCTCAGTGACTGTTCCTACAGTCAGATCTCTAGGAGCATCCAGGGCTGAGAAATTGGAACAAAGAAGAAAGCATTTACTGCATGAAGAAAGAAAAAATAATTAATTTGAACAGTGTTCAGTAGTGAGTAGTGTGGAGAGAGAGTGACAGAGAGAAGCAGAAGCACAGAGACAGGCCAGCTTGTTCTCTGTGTTTCCTGTTGTTGCAATAAAACGCTGATCATCTCACGGAGTACCTTCATTCTTGGACCACATATTTCTGTCTTTGTTAAATAAATATTGCCATAACAATCAATCAATCAATCAATCAATCAATCAATCAATCAATCAATCAATTAATAATGAAATTAATTAATAAAAAAATAACTTATTTGTGTCTTTTCTGTATTTTCTCAAATTCTATGAGTGGGGCAATTATTGATTTCATTTCAGGGTGTTTTACATAATTACTGTCAGCATGTTATGAATGTCTTTTAAATTTCTTGAATTAATTTTAAAATACCTAAAGTAATACTATGTAACTGCAGTTTTATAGATTTCCAAAAAGCCTTTGATTGTGTTTATTGTGAATTGTTTTGTTTTCAGTTATTAAAAGCAGGAATTGATGGAAATTTCTATAAAAGCTGTATATCAAAATTCAAGATCTTGTGTTCTGTTAAATGATTACAGAACAGGATAGTTTTCAACTCCATATGGTGTTAAACAAGATGTTTTGTCTCCTACTCTCTGCATTATATATACATTATTTGGTAATTGTAGTTAAAGAGGCTGATTTGGGAGTGAAATTAGGTGATATAAAAGTCTGTATATTATTTTATACAGATGATACTGTGCTTATTGCAGAATATGAACTTGATCTTCAGAAACTGTTAACTATTATTTATGGCTGGGGTAACAATATGAGGTTACAGATAAATTATGTTAAATCTGAAGTTATTTATTTTAGAAAGTCGGGTCTTGCATTAACAACATTTACATTTATTTTTGGGCCACTATTTTGTCTATTAAAAAATAAATATTTAGGATTTATTGTGGATGAATATTTAGTTTGAAGAAGAATAAAAGTCCAATCAAACTCATCTGGTAGCACTAAAGTTAAATATTACTGTGATCTGGGCTATAAGATGTGTGCAAGTCTTTTTTTGCAAGTCCAAGTCAAGTCCTAAGTCTTTGGCTCCAAGTCCAAGTCAAGTCAAAGTCTTTGACCAAAAATCCAAGTCAAGCCTCAAGTCTCTTGACCTCAAGTCCAAGTCTTGTTGCATGTATGACTTAACTGGCAGTGTGATCAAAGGTATTCTAACTATACTACATTATATTCTATAATACTATATTTTAATCAAATAATTAAACATAGTATTATGTTTTAATAATACTATTGAAGCATTATACTGTTTTAAAAATACAGATAAGGTTAAGGTTGGAATAAGAACAATCAAGCATTTGGAGTATTGTTAACTGTACTTTGCACTTGTAGTCTTACAAAAGCGTACTGTAATTATTATATTTTGTCATTAACAAAAAACAAATCCAACAAGTCTGCTCCTGATTCCACAGAAAAATACCAAAAAATTGCATGTCAGCAAAGATGATGAACCAGAATCCTTAAAGTAAAAAGGCTGCACAAGGCATCACAAAAACAAATTTTGGATTTTGACTACACACAATGTGCATTTTGCCAGTCTCTTGTTGAATAAAATCTTTGTAAGCAAAGCTTATAATGAATGGCAGAGGAGCTGCCTGCTGCAATGCGCCTGCCATGCTGAAGCTCTGTTTGTCACGTAGTGTCCATGTCATTAACATTGGATTGGCACTGGCCCCTCCCATTCTCAGGCGAGGGGGAGCAGAGCGGAGCATGGAAGTGTATTGACAGAGTAAGCATCATGAGCCAGACAGTGAAAAGACTTGCACTGTTCGCAAGTCTCAAACCACAAGTCCAAGTCAAGTCTCCATTCTTTAGGGTCCAAGTCCAAGTCAAGTCTCTAATAGTAGGAACTTAAGTGCGACTCAAGTCTAAGTCTGAGTCACGAGTCCCCATCTATACTGAGTTGTACAGATCTTGTGTTGGCCCAGTATTAGATTATTGAGCAGGAGTCTGGGGTTACTGTCAACAACCTTACAGTGGGAAAGTTCGGTGCAGAGCCCTGTGTTATTTCTTAGGTGTGCATAGAAATACTCCTAAATTGGCATTATATGGAGATGTGGGATGGGAACCATGCGAAGTTAGATATATTAGAGATATGGTCACATTATGGAACAAGTTCATTAATATGTCAGATTATAGATTAAAAAAATACATTTTTTTCATTTGGGACTTGTTAAATAGTCACAAATTGAGAAGATATTTGAGAAGGTGGATTTTCAGTATATTTTCAGTATATTTATAGAAATAAGTTGAGATGTAATATTGAACAAATTAAACAGTTTTATTTTGATGTTCATAAGTGTAACTGGGCTGATGATATTTTATCTAAGCCAAAATTATGAACATATCCTAAGAAAGGACATATATGGACCTGAGCTATATGTAACATGGAATTTAAGTAAACAACAGAGATCAGTGTGTGCACATTTACATCCGGTACTTTGACTTTAGCATTAGAAACTGGACTACCTGTATTTCGCTCAGTTCCAGAAGAAGATTGAAAATGTTAACTATGTGATTTGAATGAAATTGAAAATGAGACGCAATTTTTGTTTTAATTGTCCTTTGTGTATGATTTTTAGAAATTAATTGTTTGGTAAAGTCCTTGAAGCTTGTCCAGATTTCTTTTACATGACTGATGAAGATAAACTACATTTTTTAGTTAAGCATTTTGTGTTTCAATTAGCTCAGTTTGTTTTAAAAGCTTGGCATGTTTGAAAGAGGACACTACGTTTAAAGAATGTTGATTGGTCTCTGTCTGGACTTTTGAATATGTTTGTGTGTCTTAATGGCCATGTGGGCAGGGCACCTTTTATGCGTCCACACTGACACATTGATAACAAAAAATACCTACTTACTTACTATAAATAAATGTATTATTTTGTGTTATGCCAATAAAACATTCAGCATTGAGAAACGTGCTATTGTTCTCACAGAAAAGTATTTTTTAAATAAAAGCAGAAGACGTCCTTTGAATTTTTTGTTCTAATTCCATAATATTGTGCTCATGTCTGCTATCGCTTCACATATGATTCTTCTGGTGCCTGTTCAAGATACACAACATAAAACTAACCATTAACATCCTATTCTCTGGTCTGCATGTGGGCCAAATTATTTATTCTCACCTGTTACTGCGTTAGTGGTGGTAGGCAAACTCTCCCGTTCGTCCTTCACTGCTGTCACACCCATCCCATACTCTGTTCCTGGTCTTAGGCCTACACAACAGAAGTACAAAACATAAAGACACTAAGGTGCAGGGATAAAGAAACCCAAACCTCATGTTTTGTTTAATCAAATTCACTGAGGTGTCAACAAATGAATCAAGGGAAGCCCCTGTAGACAAGTGGCCAGCTGGTTCAGCTAATGGCGCCACGGCCACAAAAACACTCTCTTGAGGCTTGATTGCACAATAGATTGGAGTCTAATTGCGTTTCATGGTATGCCTGTGTTTGCTGTGAAACATTGATGTTGTATTTGCATTGATGGATGTATAGAGCTCTCGTTGCAGTGCAGAAACATTTCTTGCTATGATACTGAAGACTTCAGGGATTGTTTGGTCTTTACAACCAAGCTCTCTCTCACACTGATTGCCTCTAATTCCTTTATTAACTCCCACAGAGGTCATGGACCACAGAGTTTTGCTGCATGAAATTACACCTAATGCCCGGGAAACTCATTATCAATAAAATCACAAGCGTGAAGGCAATTACAGATAATATGTGTGTGAAAGAAGTGCTGAGGTGTGTGTAGAACAGGGGGCGGGGGATGTTGGCTGAATGGACACAGTGCTTTATTTTCATTGAACAGGCCTCCCAAGGACAAAGAAGTGGGTCAAACAAAGACACTACTATTTTGAGAGGTTTTTTTGTGCTCTCTGATTTCGCTGCACTGAAGCAACACAGACTGGAAAACAAGCAAACAAAAATCCATCTACAAGTCAGTTTATGCTTCAGAAAGACAACAACTACACATGCTTATTTTAATTTAAAGTTTTGTTGCAAATCCTTTCAGTGAAACAAGTTTAAACTCAGAGTCTGATCACAATTCTTAAGAGAACGTGCCTTTTGTGGAAAGGAAAACATTTAACAAAAAAGAAAAATTAGTAGCTGAAAACACTATTAAAAGAGCAAGCACTTTTGAAAGAATGAATATCACTCTTTTCATGCCAAAATTTTAAATTAAGATCATATTATAATGAGAGGAGACAGAGGTTTAGTCAGTTGTGTTAAAACTTGTAAATGACATTATGCATGATCTCTTGCAGTATTGTGATCTCTCACAAGATGGGTTGAGGATCACTTTAAGCTACTGACATATCAAACTTTAGCTCAATATCTGTAAGAAATTAGATCCGTGCTTGCATTGGCTAAGACTATTTGCTGTGGCAGTCATTTTGATTTGGGTTGATTACAAAATGTTTGGATTTGTAGATGTGCATCCGATGATTAATTTCTGAAAGTTTTACCAAAATCTGTCCAGTAGTTTATGAGAATTTTTAGTAAGAGGCAAATATCCTGATGCATCTCAGTAATCCAGGTAAAAATCAAAAGGAAAAAAAATTGTATAGGTCCTATGGARGGGTTCTTCTTTAATGAAACGTTTCGTCTCTCTTCCAAGAGACTTCTTCAGTCTGAGAGTTTCAGGCAAAATTCAGGCTTTTGAGTCCTGCCTCCAAGTGACTGATACTCACATCACATGGCTATCGTTCACAGGTGACTGATACTCACATCACATGGCTAATTAGGTGTGAACGATAGCCATGTGATATGAGTATCAGTCACCTGTGAACTATGGCCATGTGATGTGAGTATCAGTCACCTGTGAACGATAGCCATGTGATGTGAGTATCAGTCACCTGTGAACGATAGCCATGTGATGTGAGTATCAGTCACCTGTGAACGATAGCCATGTGATGTGAGTATCAGTCACCTGGAGGCAGGACTCAAAAGCCTGAATTTTGCCTGAAACTCTCAGACTGAAGAAGTCTCTTGGAAGAGAGACGAAACGTTTCATTAAAGAAGAACCCGTCCAGAGGACCTATACAATTTTTTTTCCTTTTAAGAGGCAAATACACAAACCCATCCATCCATCCATTTTCTGTACACGCTTCTTCCCTTCAGGGTCACAAGGGTCACTGGTGGCCATATCCAGCAGTCACAGTGCGAGGGGTGGGATACACCCTGGAGAGGTCTCCAGTCCATCACAGGGCCACACATAGAGACAAACGAGACCAACAACCATTCACTCTCTCAATCACACCTAGGGACAATTTAGAGTTACCAATTATCCTGACAGTCACGTTTTTGGTCTATGGGAGGAAGCCGGAGTACCCGGAGAGAACCCTCGCATGCATGGAGAGAACATGCAAACTCTACCCAGAAAGGTCCCTGGGCCGGGATTTGAACCAGCGACCTTCTTGCTGAGAGGCATCAGCTCTACCAACTGAGCCACCCTGCACCGGCAAAAGCATGATTGTCAGCGTTGCCTTTTGTCAGCAGGAAATAATACCTTCCCATGTATTTGTTTATTTAGGTGGTTATGCAATACCGGTGATCTTAGCCTGAGTGGAGTCTTTCGGTCCAGGGGGGAAGAGCAGTTCTCCGTGTTCACCTCCAGATAATGGCCCATACTTGATGCGGTACTGGTCCACCTGAGCCTGACCGTTTTTCCACTCCAGAGTGATGCTCTCATCTGTCAGATCCACTGTCTGTAGATCTCTCGGAGCATCCAGGTCTGCATGACACAACAGGAAACTACATTTTAAAAAATAGAGCCTCAACAAACCAAACTATCTGTAGTTTAAACATACACCCTTCTAGAATCAGAAAACACTAAAGACAAAACTTAGCAAAACAGAAACAAGCATTAGACGAACAGTAGCTAAAGATTAGGATAATCAAAAAGTAGCTAAAAGCAAAAATAAGCAATGCATTGGCTAAAAGCTAAAAGAGTAACAAAAGCTAAAAACCAAAGAAACAGTAGCTAAATTCTACAACAGTAGCTTAATGTTAAAGCTAACAAAATACTAGGTAAAAGTTTTATATATATTAGGGGTGTAACAATACAGAAAATTTACAATTCGATTCGGTTCGATATTTTAGTTTCATGGTTCGATATTTTTTCGATACAAAAAAGAGAAATTTCCATGCACATTTAAACTTGTAATTCATTTAAATTAATTATGAACATTTGTTTAAACTCAAAAGTAGAATTTTTATATTAAATGTTGCTGAAACAGCAAGTTTCTCAGTGGAACTGCACTCAAAACTGAAGCCTAGGTGGAGTAGTCGAACACAGATCCACTGATCCTTTAACACAGGGCACAAGTTGATAAAGTAAATTTTAAAAATCTATATTGTTTGATACAAGTGTGTATTGAACCTAAAGCACTCGTTGATACAGTTCAATATGGGTACATGTATTGTTGTACGC